CCACTGGCCGCCGACCAAATTGCTCTGGCATTCTACCTGTACCCGAATGGATACAGTATAGTACTTACTTGTAAGAGGTCTGTGCAGGTAATTCGCCTATCTGTAGCAGCTGCCATTAGTACAAGCCACACAAAGCTACTCTAGCTTTGTAACAGCTTGTTAGTCTAATTTGTGTGGCTGCTGTTGATTAGTTAGCCTGCTTGTCTGGGAAACTTGCTTACTAAAGACGTTAATACTTATTATTTAAAGACGACACTCTATATAATTAAAGCTTAGCTTAGCTGTTGTTTAAAACCTGAGCCTTTTCAATATACCAGGACTGATCGGTGTCTTGTCGGAATTCCCACTCCAAAAACCCGTTGCCTAAGAAATGCCAGGGGTTGTTACTCCGATAAACTATCTCAAAATCCTCGCTTCGGATCTCCCTCATGAGCTGGCAGAACAGGTGTATTCCGCCACCAAACAATACCGTAACACGGCCGTCTCTAGTCCCCCTCTTCCACCAGCTGCGGCAAGCGCCAGTCCAGACAAGAGTCTTGTGGATCTCATCGCCATAGCGCATAAAAGCGCGGGTTTTATCTGCTTTGGGGTGAACGTATTTTATATCTTCGATCGCCATCTTTCTCACCCACTTGATGATATAGTCGCCCGTCCAGTTTAGCGATTCGAGTAGGGAGCCCTGGCCAGCCAAGCAGCGCGGGCCCATAAGGAGGAAGTAGTTGGGGTATTTGGGGACGGCAACGCTGATATAAGTTTCTGGGCATTCTTTCCAATCGGTAGCGAGGTCCGTTCCCTCGTCTAGGCCCACGATGGGGTATCGTGGGTAGTGTGTTACATCATAGCCCGTCGCGCACACAACTTGTCCCCCATATCAGTTAGTGATAAACTCGATAGGTTGTTTCTTTGAAGCGCTGGCTGAGTAGGAAGACTTACTGACGTCTACCTCGTGGACCTGTCCATCGGCAGTGTGGATGGCGGTTTCCGTCACCTTAACGATAGCACTGTTGGTTAAGTGCACGTTGGGCCGGCTGAAACTAGCCAGATATCCAGGTCCTGGGGAGACACGCTTACAACCAAGCTCCCACTTGGGAATTAGCATTTCACAAAGCATTTTGTCATATTTCAGCTCTGCCGCCATTTGCGCGGCAGCCGCATCCGTCTCTGCCCTGTTCTTTGCGCCCTTGCGTACGGTGTAGAAGGACCTGTTTGCTTTTGAGGTAATATTCTTTCTGTACCTGAGGTGCTCTTCGGGATCTTGAAAGCGGGCCTTATCCTCGTCGGTATATTCGGGGTTCAGGTCTTCAGGTCTACGCGGCTCAGGCGCCCGAGGGCGGTAGATCCATGTCGGCCCGCGGATGAAGTTGGTGACGGTAGCTCCACCGAGCTTGGCCAATTGGGGCAGGAGTTGGATACCGCTAGAGCCGTTACCAATGAGGGCAATCTTTTTGTTGGTGTAGTCGAAGTTGTGGTCCCAGCGTGCGGAGTGTACCACTTTGCCCTTGAAAACGCCGTCGCGAAGGCCCTGGATGTCGGGCCAGTTCTCGTGCCTAAGGACGCCCTGGCCCGAGATAAGAACATCGCAATACTCGTCGCGATCGACGCCGTCGTGGGAGACAATAACACGCCATTGGCCCTGGGCCTCGAGCCATTTTGCAGCGACGACGCGAGAATTTAGGTGCAGGTTTCTGTCGAGGTCCCATTTGCGAACGGTGGCTTTAATATGGGCTAATATTTCGGCACCCGAGGCATAATAGTTGTCCCAATCGGGCTTGGGGTCGAAAGGGAACGAGTAAACGTGGGCGGCAACGTCGCATTGGACGCCTGGGTAATTGTTGAGTAGCCATGTGCCTCCAACATCCGGAAGAGCCTCGAAAATCTTGTGCTCGACCATGTGGCGCATTTCAGGGAAGCGGTGCTGGAATTTATGCGCCATCAGCAGGCCGCTGAAGCCAGCGCCAATAGTGATAACACGTATCTTTTTACGGGGCGTGTAGGCGTATTCTCGGTTGAGAGGAAACGGGTCCTCTGCGCCGGATGCATTTTCAGCCATTGGTTTTGCCAAGGTTTTGGGCCAGAGTACAGAGTATGGCTGGCGATGACTCTGTTGTAAGGGTTACCGCTACAGCGGTTATTTTTTGAGGCCTGAGAGTGATATAAAACAAAAGTTGTTGGTCTAGTATAGAATGATACCTCACGTTGACGTCTTCAGAGATATTAGACGTTTATAAAGAGTGATATCCTTTAGGTAATTATGTCTCACAAGCGTTTAGAGTTCTATTTAATCTTGTGCTGGCTCGGCCGGGATTCGGAACGAACGTAAAGTCGTCAGGACCCGAGGATATTGATAAACGCATTTTGGAGGCTAATGAAGAGCGGAACCCAGTGTTAAGCATTTGAGTTCTGTTGGTATTAGATGACAGTTCTTGTGCATACCAAGCGCACTTTCGGCCATGAATAGTCCGTCTTTCTATTTGGGACAATATTAGGTTAAAGTTTCATGTGCCAGAGATGCTAAGGTTTCACCCGCAAAGTGTCTGCCTATTGACCGCTACCGGCAATTTACCTTGTCCTGAATTGCCTGAATCCTGGGACCGGAGGTAGTATTGTCCAATACTTACAATTGCCGTGGACAGGCCTAGTCACGTAGTCACGTTCTATTAATTATAGTTTAGGCCCTCATGACTCAATCATTAGCCCTTCGGATGTTACTGGCGTACACAGGGTGGCAGGGGTAAGTTTTTCTCCTAATTATAGTATATCATGAACTAGGGACCACTACATTTTCTACCCGCTTCTAGCCAGCCAAAAGATAGTTATTTATGAGATCTTTGTGATGACAAAAGTGGATTCACAGTTGTTACTGCTAAAACTGCACTTCAGTACCTTCACAGCAATATTTAAGATAGAATTGCTATTATTTATATAACCTTTTAGCATACTCCATACGAAGTCTTATTACGGTACTAAATACCTTCCTATAAGATACGTAGCTAATATATTATATCCTGTCCTATCTACAAAAACACTGGTATAACGAGTATAATACGTAATGAATTACTTTATACCTGACCACTCAGTTATTCTTTTGTATACTGCGTAGTGTTCGGGGCAGACATTCCAGTGTGAGACCAAAGCCTAAACGCTTTTAGCAAACCGAGTTTGTAGGGATTAGAGCCGTGATTAAAGTTATGATATCTGTTTCATGTATTATACAGAATACGACCTCTACCTGGGACCGAAAGCCGTCCTACTTACTACACGTTAGACCCTTGGAAGTGGTCGTCCACCGACTAAAGAGGCTAACTTGTGTTATTCCGATGTAAATAGTAGTTTAGTCTAGCTATTCCGGTTCTAAGCTGTACTATGCGAGAGTAGTCGCTTCTTTCCGAGTAAGATGGTCGTACAACCTTCGTCTATATTCGGGGCAAGTTATGCATGATTCATTCGTGAACCAATCCCCTCTGTTCACTCTAGTGACAAAAAAGACCGCCAGTTTTCCCTGCCTCGACGACCATCACTATTACTGCAGTTGCTGCAATAAGTGATACGGCTTTTACTACACTAAAAAGACGCATTCATGAGACACTCGTAGATTCTTTGAAGCTATAGGTTTCAAAAAAATATCATTCTACCTATTTTCGGTACCTGAAAGGTAGGGCTATGATGTTCCTGAAAACTGGCCCTCTTTCTATAACCGTAGATTACTTATTATAAAACCTAGCCTAGCTAAATATAAATAAACTAGATAAAACACCTATTCTTATGGAAGCTATATAAGTAATATACTGTATATATAGTAACTATAACTAGTAGTAGCTATATAAATCTATTATAGCTTTATAATATATCTATAGTAGTCTATATACTATATTTAATAGCTTATATTATATACATGTAATTATATCATAAAACCCTTATGATTTAGTTACCTATATCTATTTCCTTATAAATGTGTAGATATAGCCCTATATTACAGATACCTTATACTAATAACTAGTCTTAAAATCAAGAGATATTCTTATAAGCCCTGCTTGTCTGTTATTGTAGAACAATTGTTTTTGCAAAGATTACTCTAGTCCTCGATTCGCCCAAGACCAAGCCAAAGTAGTCAGATTTCCGTTATTATCCAAGCTCAACTTGCATCGATGTCTATCTCAATCTTCGATCGTCTACGCAACATCACTTCCGTAGTTGGGTTTGCGTTCAATTGAAGCCCAAGAGTCAGTGTCGCGTGTGAGGAGCCCTCTGCTATCTTCCACTCATATTTCAATAGCAGATGGACAAAGACGATTTTTATCTCGTTAGCGACGAAAAAGCGACCGGGACAGGCGTGTTGGCCATGTCCAAAACCCATTTGCTGTGGAGAGGTGCTGACGAGATGTGCCAAACTATCCTTGGTGGTATCTCTCCATTTATAAAAGCGGTACGGGTCGAATTTGAGGGGACTGTCATAGTACTCAGGGCTGAGCCGGTATCCTGTATCTGTTCCGACGCGGACGCCTTTAGGAATAAAGGTCCCATCAGAAAAGGTTACATCCTTAACAGTGAAGCGATTGAGGGTAACTGTAGAACCGCAAGCGTACCGAGCCTAATTAGCTTCTATCTTCCTTTTAAAGTAGGAACTTGGGGAAACTACCTGAAGAGATAGGTTCGAGACGTTGTGTCTCCTTGAGGACGCTATCAAGGAGTTTGAGATCATGGAGTGTTGTCTTTTTCCAACCTCGAGTCCCAATAACCTGCAAGATTTCGTTCCGTAGCTCTTCAGCCAGGCCAGGGTGCTCGGCAATCTTATACATGGTTTTGAGCAATAGATCAGTTGTCGAATGGATGGAGCTGGTAGATATGGTCATTTGAATAGAGACGGGATCGTATGGAATGCCAGCAGCCTCTTCCTCAAACCATTCAATGGCGTCGTTCATTACAGAAACCTTTTCGCCGCGAGCAATAGCTTCTTCACGGCGTTTGCGCCTCTTCTCGATAACGGGGCCAAGCAGGTCCCTGGCGCGTTGAATGGTGTTGCGAAGCTCTACGCACATAGGGTCGAATCGATTGTATATACCGCGTAGCATCTTGGGCTTTCTCTTTAAAGCCTCAGTAGCTATAAAGCCCTGTATTGTGAAGTTTTTGGTGATTTCTAGCCAATCCTTATCGCGGCACAAGACGTCGCCGAGGAAGATCCTTGACGTGACTCGAGCAATGACATCAAGGGCGACAGGTCCCATTGTATAAACCGTCCAGTCTATATATTCAAGCACTGTTAGTGGCGGAGTGATATGGTATGATGTACTTGAGTAAGCTAGGGCAACTAAACCTGTCGATGAACCTAAGTTAAGGTCTAACGCAAAGCTTGCTTCCTCGGACAAAGGCTGGGTGATTCTAGCTTGAATGTGTGTTAGTGGAAACACAATGGACTCAGCAAAGTGAGTCTCCGAATCAAACCTAAGGGGGGGGGGGGGGGGGGGGGGAGGGGGGGTGGGGACTTTGTTCCAATGTTGGTGGATGAAACTACTCACTCAGAAGTCTGGTGAGCTGCTTGCGTGCCACCCGCTGGAACAATTCGTCCTCTCGCCCAGCACCAACAAAGGGTTCGAATCCGGGCATCCCGTTATGAAAGTAATCATTTAAGAATTGAGCGAAGCTTAAGCCATCGTGGTTACGGACTTCCTGGGCCAGGCGAGCTGGCAGAATTACTTGAGTACCGACATCGTTGTTTATATAATACGGCTCGTCGGGGTGCTCCTTTCGTCCCTTATCAATCATATTACTCGCGATGGACTGGAACATCTCCCTGTCTTTCTTCGCAGAGTCAGTGTATAAAACGGCAGGTATCTTGGGTCTCTTTTTCTCAAAGAACAGAGCCAAGCCAAGCCATGTGGTCAGAGCGAGAAGCAAGCTGAGGCTCAGAAAGTGGGCATTCTGAATCCTAGCTAAGAGCTCTCGAATGGCTTGAGGAGTCGTAGAGGAGCTGAAGAGCAAAAGTGAAAAGACCATGGCTGCTGCACCGCGAGAACAATGAAGTGCGTATTTCTCTTGGGTTGTTGTCAACGTTGTTGATGTTATTAATGCTTGTATTTGCACTGGCTCACAGTGGAGGATGGGCGCCATTAAATACCTTTTAGGAGACTAGCGGATCTCGTATAGCAGAATTGGGGCAGGCCATGTTATAGTTCCCTGCGTGTAATGTACAGTCACATGAGATCACTCTGCCAGAGGCAAATTAGTAGTTGTGCCCGGACTTATGTCAAGTGACTGTGAAGATCTGAAGCTAGGGAATTCTGTCAGCTACTTGCCCTTCCAGCGTCGTTTTTGCGCGACAACTACCTTTACGGGCCATGTTCGGTGATTCGGAGCCAGATGAATCCCGATAGCTGGGACAGAGTTTATAAGACATAACTAACCCACTTGTCAGACGGGAAATGTTTCGCACTTATTAGTAGCTTACCCACCCACCCGGTGTGCAAAAAAAAGTGCACACGTCAAGGCAGTATTCACATTGGGTTGAGGGCGAAGTTTCTGAATTGGCTATTGAGGCCTGGGAGCAAAAGTTACGGCAAGAGACTATTAACAAGTGGGTAGACCAAATGCCCCAGCGACTTGAAGAAACTATTGTGAGGGAGGGCAAAATGACACAATTCTATTAGATAATGGTATAAGCATTTAAAATCACTTATTTATATGGCAGTTTTTGGATTTTGATGGTTCTATTCATAGGGGTAGGGAAAATGAGCATTTGGTGTAGGTGGGCTGAAGTGTGCACTTTCTCTTGCGCACTGGGTGCCACCCCTCTCACGCACAGCACCTACGAAAGTAATACTCTGTACAGAGTACATCCGAACATGCCAAAAACTGCGCATACCTGTGCGCTACCTGTGCAGTAGGATGTATACAGTGCCCTCTAAAAAGTCTAAAAACGTGTAAAAAGTGTTACCTAAAATCTATTAAACTTACTATCTTCTAAAAAGTCTAAAAAGGTGTAAAAAGTGTTACCTAAAATCTATTAAACTTACTATCTTCTACTTAGGATATCTTATTAACTTAGGTATATACTATATAGTAAAAGTTAGTTTATAGTAGTATAAGTTACTTGTTTAAAGTATTTTATAAGTTAAACTTTTTTTTTTTTAATTATTAAGAGAATTATAAGTACTTAAAGTAGTAGGATATTTTAGTAGCAGTTAACAGGCAGACAGATTACAGGGCAGCACTTGAGTCATTAAAGTACCTCTTGAAGTCTCTCGCTTAATCCTGCACAGACCTACGCATAGACCAGCTTACCCTTTTCCTACAGAAAAAAGAAGAAAACAGAGATATCTCTATAAGCTTAAGGTATATCTAGAATATAATTACATAAATTAACTTTTTAGAGAAATTTACCCCTAAAGACTTACTTTTAGAATAGGAGTATATATACCTAAGACTATACTAATAAAAAAGCTTTTTTTCTCTTTTTATTAACTTAGGAGTAAAAGATTTAAAGTTAGTAGATGAAGTTGGTGGTGTGGAGAATTTGTGACTTAAGAGGAGGTGGGTCAGTACTTTGAGATAGTCTGAGATGCTAAGGTTTGACCTGCAATCTGTCTGCCTGTTAACCGCTACCAATATTTTATAGAGAAGCTTCTAGGGAATAATAGGGGATAATATAGGGAAGTTAAAAAACTATCTTTTTTTATTTTAACACTTTTTGCACGTTTTTAGACTTTTTGGAGGGCACTGTATATTTAAGTTATTAACTAGTAGCGTTACAATACCTCTATTGCCTATTGATTTTGCGCATGCTCAAGGTACTAGCAATCTCTATCAATACATAATAGTACATTACAGTCTAAGCAGCCCTTTTGTGGGTTTTCTTTCTTATTTCAATTTTTAGTGAAGTCATTCCTAGATATCTTGCCTAGGGTTTGGCGGGCTCTTATTGCCCTTCAATTACTATAGTAAGGTCAAGGCAGATTAACCTTTCTAGACTCCTTCCTTTGTTGATCCTATGGAATAGAGGTATTTCTTTGATCTGTGGCCCGTCTAGGCCGTGACCTCTGCCGCCCTTGTGCTAAGGAGTAAATCTATAAAACACAGAAGGGCAATCAAAGTTATATTACCTGCTTTAACTCTGACATGGAATACGGTGTATAGTTAGGACCGAAAGCCGTCCTACTACATGTTACAGCTTTGGAAGTAGTTGTCCACCGACTGAAGAGGCTATCTGTACTTTTGCAAGTAAGTTGAGTCGTGGGTGGAGTTATAGAGCGCACAATCGTGTACAGCGAACCCCGTCCATTATGAGGTATGCCCCTTGGGGTTGACCTATGTCAGTAACGAAGTGTGCGATTATCCTTTGAGTTGAAGTTAAACTTTAACACCTGGGGGGATCCTAGGCAGTTTCCGGCGCTGGGTAGGTACGGAAACATATCCTATGGGAAATTGCTGCTTATCCTATGCGTCACTCCGAAATTTTTCTTATTTAATTGTAACATCTTTTGCCATTGCATTTGGTTTCTCAGCCTCACGTGTAAAATAGACCAAACAATAGCTTTTGCAATCCTCAAGCCTGCTCCGTTGCATCCCAAGGCGATTAGGCTTGGAGACCAGACGCGCAGCGACCATGGTTTTTTACCCTCCTTCATGGGTGCCCAAACCTCGTAAGTCTTTTCTGTTCACGTTGGTGACGAGACAACATCACGTAGCCAAGTCTAACAATATGGCACAGCCCATGAAGCGCCTGACTCAGTCCCGATCCACGAATTCATGAGAAACGGCACTTACGGACGCCAACCCTTTGAAAAATCCCGAAATCCATTTACATGTGGCCTGACCGGACGGACTTACACCCCCGCCGAGTTGTTCGTGCGCTCCGACCACCTCATGCGCACCCTCGCGCGGCGGACTGGATGGGCCCCAAACGACAACCTAACGCCGTGGGAAAAGGTCGTCGCTATCTTCTCTATCAACACGATTGACTACATGCTACCTTTGTACGCCGCACATGGGCTGAACGGTATTGTTTCCCCGGTCAATGCCGCATATACCGCTGGCGAGCTTGAGTACCAGCTCCGCAGCTCCGGCGCCCGCGTACTTTTCACCTGCGCTCCGTTGCTTGACATTGCACTTCGAGCAGTGGATGCGGTCGGGCTCGAAAGAAACAACGTATTTTTGATGCCGACGGTTGACAACGAAGCTGCTATTGCGCAGATACCTTTTCCAACTATTGAAGAGCTCATTCTCGAAGGTCAATTATTAGAGCCGCTGCAGCCGCTTAGGTGGTTGAAAGGCCAAGGCAGAAGGCAAGTGGCCTTCATAAACTACAGCAGTGGAACGTCGGGGCTCCCAAAGGCCGTCATGATCTCACATTATAACGTCATTTCCAATGTTTTGGCACACGTGGCCTATGATTCAGTCGCTCGGGAACAAAAAGGAGTTGAAACCGAGGTTGTTCTGGGTTTGGTACCTATGAGCCACATGTTTGGGCTTTTGGTGGTTTCCCACACTGCGACTTGGCGCGGCGACGAGATCATTGTGCTGCCCGGATTTGATATTGTTTCCTTCCTCAACGCCATTCAACAGTTCCGAATTGAACACCTGATGGTGGTGCCGCCTATGCTCATCTCCATATTACAGAAAAAAGAGCTATGCTCTTCGTACGACTTATCGAGCGTGCGCTTCGTTTTCTCGGGCGCAGCACCGCTAGGCGAGGAAACCATAAGCGAGTTGGCCAAGATCTACCCGAAATGGCAAGTCGGGCAGGCCTATGGCATGACGGAAACTGCGGTAATCGTATCCAACACAAGTGAGCACGATGTTGTGTCAAAATCGTCGGGGTCGTTGCTGCCAGGTGTCCGTATCAAGCTTGTAGACCTCGTGTCTGGGAAGGAGATTACCGAGTATAACATGCCGGGCGAGCTTTGGGTCCAGGTAAGATTCAAATTTGGCATAAACAGATGATCCAGGCCAAGGCGCTAAAAGCTAACAAAAAAGTCACCCTCCGTTGTCCTCGGCTACTTAAACAACGAAAAAGCCACGGCCGATACCTTCGTCTCGGACGCCCATGGCCGCTGGATCAGAACGGGCGACGAGGTATACGTAACCAAATCGCCGCAGGGCAATGAGCATATCGTTGTCGTCGACCGCATCAAGGAGCTTATTAAAGTCAATGGCTACCAGGTGGCACCGGCCGAACTTGAAGCGCACATCTTGACACATCCGGCCGTTTCCGATGTCGCAGTGATACAGGTGCCCAATGAGCGGTCGGGCGAGGTGCCCAAGGCGTACGTGGTAACGGCCCCTGAGTATAAGAACATGCCCAGTGATAAGATCGCCACGCTTGTTACCCAGCACGTTGCCGACCACAAGGCGCCATATAAATGGATTAAGGGCGGCGTGGAGACTGTAGATGCTATTCCAAAAAGTCCAAGTGGAAAAATCCTAAGGAGGTTGTTAAGGGATCGTGAATAGGAGAACCATGCAAACCTAGGGCCAGGATGTAATGTATAGATTGGTGTTTCGTCTCTATATAAGTCAAGTAACCCACTTTCAGGCCACCCAAAAATAAAGCCATTACAACTAACACCACTTTCCTCTTAATGCTATAGTAATACAGCTTTTGGCTTTACTAGGTATATCTAATACACTGGATTTATCTAGCGTATTTTTAGTATTACTAGCCTTATTTTAGGCTTACTATGTCTTTTTGTTTATTATAAACTTAATATTTAAATCTAGATAAATAGTATTGTTTTTTTAGATATAAGATTAAATCTAAATTATTTTAATAAATAAACTTAATCCTAAAGCTTTTTTACTTTTCTTAATATAGGCTATTCTATAGTAGATAAAATAAATATTGATTTCTTTATTTCTTAGATATTATAGGCCTTATAAATAGCTCTAGTACACTTATTAAGTAGTATTAATAGTATTAATACCTATAATAGTAGTAGGTAGCTTATTATTATAACCTACTAAGTTATAGGTAACTAAAGCCTTACTAAATCTAAGAAGCTAGGGTAGTCTATTTATTATACTAATAAAAGTAGAAAATTAATATATAGGCACTACTTTTATCTAGGCGCTACTTTTTATACTTCTTCTTAGCCTAAAAAAACAGTATATCTCCTTAAAGATAGTAAAAGTAGTTATACTAATACTACTATTCTACTATTCTATTTTATTATTAACTAATTAACTTATATAGCTATAAGAAATAGGCTTAATAAGTAGGTTCTTTTTATAGCTATATAAAATAGTGTCTATAAGAAGTATTATCTTTATAGCTAATGTACATGTAAAGTAAGTAGTGCATTATAGCAAGTGGCGTATGTCCTCCTTATTTCTACTATCTTTATCTTTATCCTAACTTTCCTCTATGTACAACAATAGAATCCTCTCCTTAAGAAACCTAGATTATCCTTGCACTTATAGCTATCTAAAAAGACCTAAAACTATCTATATAAAATACAGCCTCTATTTATTAGCTACCTAAATCTATACTTTATTATTAACGCGCTAGCTAATACTTATAAAGTAAAACGTATATAAATTTAATAAAGATAACTATATTAGAAGAAGAAGTAATTCTTAAAAGGGTTATTAACCTAATTAATTAAGGGTTTTCTTTATAATAAGAAGATATACAAGAAATAGCTAATTAACTTCTTAATATATATAATAAGATATATATTAGACCTTAATAAGTAAAGAACTTTATATAGTAATAACCTTAATTAAAAATATAATTCTAATATTAAATTAACTATTAGAGGGCCTTAACTAAGGATTCTATAATAATATAAGGCTAGTTTACACTTATATAAAATATAATTATAAAGTATAGTATATAAGATTATAATATCTATAATTTTAATAAGACTAGGTTCCTAATAGGAATATATTATAATGCACTTATTTAGTTATAGAATATTATAAGAAGACAGCTTAACTATCTATGTTCTAGACTACCTGTTAGGGCTTATAGATATATATATTAGTGAAGTAGATTAGGGCAGTAGATCTAGATTAATATATGTTTTAGCACTAGTTAGATCTACTTAAAAGGCTATATAATACTGTAAAGGTATTATAATACACCCCCTAGGTAAATTTACTAAATCTAAGGCGTAATACACCTAAAATAGCTCTATATAAAGGAAATTATTTTAAAATAATTAAACCTAACTATAAAAGGTTACTCTAAAAGTAGTAAACGCAAGGAATATAAAGGGAATAGTTATATAACATTATATATAGTTACTATTATAAAAGCTAAAGATTCTATTTAAGTTAATATTAAATAAGAAAAAGCTACTTAAAATAGTAGGCTTTAATTAGCTAGTTAATAGGCTAGCCTAGTGTTTACCTTCTTTAATATTATTACCTTTATCTAGGCTATTAAAAGGGCCTTCTTTTTCTTCTTATTTTCTTTCTTCTTTTTCTTTATTAATAATAATAATAATAACTATATATATTATTATTTTTTACTCTTCTTCTTTATACTATAATTTACTATAAATTACTTTAATTATTAAAGTATATATAAAGCTAACCTCTTAAATAGATAGCTTCTCAAAGAATAAAAGAAGCTAAGTGTACTTATACTATGTTATAGTTAGTAATCTAACAGTAGGGTTTCTACTAAGGATAAGCTAGGGTTAATACTTAGTTAATAGTAATATAGACTTACTAGTCTATTAATTACTTAGTAATTAGTTAGGTAGTTAATAGTTATAAAGGTAGCTTATATAGCTCTTGTTAATAAGTTACTAAGGTTAAATACTAAAAGGATATTTAGAGAATATATTATAAAGTTAATTACTAAAGAGCTATAAAAGGTAATCTATTTAATAAAATAAATATCCTTATATCTTATTATCTTATTATTAGGACTAATATCTAGATATTAGTCCTCTAGGGGCAGACTACTCTTAATATATTAGTCCTTAATTATAGACTACTTATTATTTATTAGTCCTTTATTATTATATAACTTTTCTTAGTTCTTTTACTCTAGGGGAGTTATTCTTTATAATAATATTCTTTTTAAGTACTACGCCCTTTACACCCTATCTACTAGGTAAGGCTATATTACTTATAACTTATTAAGTTATAATATTAGGTCTCTTCTCTAAAGGTCTTGCCCTTAAGACTTATATAAGTAGGTTATATCTCCTAGGTTAAAGGAGTATTAATCTTACTTCCTTATTTATTATAATACTAACACTATATTAGGTTATATAAAAAAATTAAAATTAAAGAAGACTATTATTAAGGATTATAAATATCTTACTTTACTAAAGTTTATTAAAGCTTATTCTATTATTACTAATATACCTTATACTTATTATTTTTATATAAAGGTAGCTTATTATTTTAGTAAAAGGTTATCTTATTATTAAATATATATTAAGGCTAAGAAGCCTTATAATAGTGTTTTAGTAGCTTTTACTTATAAGTGTCTTATTCTTAAAAGTATCTTATTTCTTACTAATTATATTATAGTCTAAAAGTTAAATACTTAATAAAAAGAGTTAAAACAAAAGGCTAATAAAAAGCTTATAGCTTTTTATCTAAGGCTTATAAAGATATAGTTATAAATAGCTAAGGCTATAAGTTATTTATTATAGATTTATAGAATCTAGAAGAAAATATAAAAGTACTAACAAGAGGTATTCTAGTAAGGTATATAGGAGTTAGATAAAGAGGATAATATAAGTTTTACCTTAGATTCTTATAAGTCTTAGATAGTATATAACCTATAGTCTCTTAGTGTCTTTAATAATATTAACTAGGGTTCTTATAGTTTAAGTAAAGAGTTTATAGACTTAGGTCTATTATTAGAGGTTTTACCTAGGAGCTATTATACTCCTAAGTAACTACTAAAAGTACTAGAGGTTTTTAGTAGTGTTCTAGTTAAAGGTAATCTTATAAGTTAATATTACTAAGGTAGCTATTTAATTTTTTTTAATACTTTACTAAGTTTTTTATTAGTTCTTATATATATTTTTTTACTTATAGGTTTATTATTTAACTAAGTATTATACTTTACTTTATTTAATCTTATAAGTAATAATTTATTTAACTTTATATTTTAGTTTATTTAGTTCTATAATAATATAGTTATTAGTATTTAATTCTTAAAGTACTAGTTTAAGTAATATAATATAGAAGACTAAGTGTATTTCTATTATTTCTAGTAAGTTAAGTTTATAGTTAACTAGTAAAATTTTCTTAAGGATTTTAAAAGGTCTAAGTTTTTTATAATTAAGTTTATTACTTAGTTACTTAGTCTTAATATTTTAGTAGATAAAATATACACTATCTCCCTCTTTAAAAGTTAGCCCCTTAATCCTTTTCTAGTTAGTATACTTTATTATTTATTATCTATTAAATTTAAGGTCTCTTAAGGCTAATTCTTAAAGTTCTTAGATCTTATTAAAGTTAGCTATAGCTTTTAGTGCCTATAGTCCTTATTATAGTTCCTTATATACTGTTAGTTAAAATCTATAGTTTAAGTAAAATAGTAAGTTTAAAGTACTTTCTCTAATAGTACTATTATAAGTAAATTAAGCTATAGGTAGTAGTAGTAATTAATTATCTTAGTTATAGTTAATATAATATTATAAATACTATTTAAGTATTTAGTTAATTTTTTTTATTTAGCTATTAGTTTATAAATAAAATAAGGTTAATAGCTTATAATTAGCTTCTAGTTATAAAATTAAGGATTTTTAAAACTTAGATATAAATAACTTATCTTTATTTAATATAATTTCCTTTAGTAATCTATAGTTACTAATAATATATTTTAAAAAAGTATACACTAGATCTTTTATAGTACTTAATTCTAGGTATAAAATAAAGTAAGTGTACTTTATAAGTCTATTAATAATAACTAATATACTATTATAGTAGGTTTTTATAAGTAGTTCTCTTAACTTTAGAAGTTTAATAATAAAGTCTAAAGAGATAAAGTACTATACTTCTAGTAGTACTAATAGTAGTTATATTTACTTATATAGCTTATAAAGACTATTCTTGCTTTTCTTATATATCTTATAGTTCTTAATTACTAAAGCTACTTCTTTATATATAACTTACTTATTATAGTATTATTAAATTCTCTTAAATATTATTATAACTCTTTAGTACTTATATACCTTAGCACTATATACTTTATAAATCTAGTTAGTTATTATTCTTCTAGTTATACTAGTATTAATATATCTACTAATTATAATAAGTTTCTAGGCTAGAATAATATTACTATTATTATTATATTTAAGAATAACTTATATTTTCTCTAGTACTAGTACTTTATAGTCTAGTCTTCTACTTAAAGTGTTTACTCTTTTATTTTCTGTTTCTTTATAGTAAATAATCTTAAAATTATATTCTAAAAGAAATTTTAATAATTATATTTATTATTTATTAAGAACCTTTAAGGTAATAAAGTAAGAAAA